AAAAAAAAATGCAAAAAATAAATAAATAAAAAGATTTAAGAGCAAAAAAAAAAAAAACATAAGAGAGCTATACAAATGGCAAAACATACCATGCTCGTGGACAGGAAGACTAAATGTTGTGAAATGTCAATATTACCCAAAGCAATCTATGCACTCAATGCAATCTCAATCCAGATCCCATCACCATTCTTTAAGGACATGGAAAAAGCAATCATTAATTTTATATGGAAAGGAAAGAGACCTTGGATGAGTAAAGCATTATTGAAGAAGAAGAACAAAGCAGTAAGTCACACACTCCGGATCTTAAAACCTACTACACAGCCACAGTACTCAAAACAGCCTGGATTGGTACAACGACAGACACATACACCAGTGGAACAGAATTGAGAACCCAGAAATAGATCTATCCACCTATGGTTAGCTGATCTTTGACAAATGGCTGAAATCCATTAAATGGGGAAGAGATGGCCTCTTTAACAAATGGTGCTGGCAAAGTGGATACCCATTTGCAGAAAAATGAAACACCATCAGTATTTCACACCATACACAAAAACTAACTCCAGATGGATCAAAGACTTAAATGTGAAATCTAAAACTATAAAGTTTCTCATAAAAAAAAAAGAAAAAAAAAACTAGGTGCCCTAATTTATGGCATAAACAGACTATCAAGCATAACCCAAAATGCACAAACAGCTGAAGACAGATGAATGGGTCGTTCTAAAAATTAAATTTTTATGTGCTTCCAAAGACTTCTCCAAAAGAGTTGAAAGAGATCCTACAAACTGGGAAAAAATATTCGGCAACAAAGTACCTGAGAAGGGACTTATCTCTAAAATTCACAGAAAACGCCAACACCTCAACAAAAAGACAAATAATCCAATTAAAAAATGGGCAGAAGACGTGAATAAACACTTCACCAAAGAGGATATTCAGGTGGCCAACAAACACATGAAGAAATGTTCATGATCATTAGCCACGAGAGCAATGCAAATCAAAATAACCATGAGATACCATCTTGCCCCAGCACTAATAGCAAAGTTCAACAAGACAATAAATAACAAATGCTGGCTAGGAAATGGAGAGATGGGACTCTCATTCACTGCTGGTGGATCTGTAAAATGATACAACCACTGTGGAAAGCAGTACGGTGATTCCTTAAAAAGCTGGAATTAGAAATATCATTTGACCCAGCAATTCCAGTACTAAGTATATATCCTAAAGAAGTGAAAGCCAGGACAAGAACAGATATATGCACAACCCTGTTCACCACAGCACTATTTACAACACCAAAAAGATGGAAACAACCTACGTGCCGACCAACAGAAGAATGGATAACCAAACTATGGTACACACAATGGAATACTATGCAACACTAAAGAATAATGCAGAATCTGCAAAACACTGCATAACGTGGATGAACTTGGAGGACATTATGCTGAGTGAAATAAGTCAATCACAGAAGGAAAATTTTGTATTAGTTAATTATTATAAAAAGTCAAGGAAAGATTTGTATAAGGAAGGAAACTTTTTTTGTTGGTTACCAGGGGTGGAAGGGGAGGGGAGTGAACATTGCAAAAATAAATATAAATAAAAATAAACAACAACAAAAAAGGATCCCTCTGCCAGAAAAATACTGACAGCATCTAAACTACCGTGCAAACAAGAGTAGCTCTGCTAGATGTGGCCTCAGTTCGTCTTACCTGTCCAAAGTGAGCAGGGTAGCCCAGCATGTGCATATACAGCAGTTTTGCCACATTCCGACACCGGTATGTATTATCTTCTTCTCTAAAAGATGACCGTATTGCAGCACACTCTTTCTGGATCATTTCTCGTTCTTCAGCTTGGGTTCGGGCTGTCCGGATGGTCCGGATAAGCTCCCGCAATCTGATGGGGGCTGGCATCCTCTGGATACAGAAAACACATTAAATAGAGATGTTCACATTTTTTACTACCAAAACCATTCATATAACTTCCCATATAAATTCTGAGTAATTTTTTTTAACAATTCAAGACTTGCTAAGTCCAATAACATGATGTTTCAGCAAACTTATTACTTACAAATGCTCAACTCTGTAAACTTCTGGAAAAGCTACAAACAAAAATATAAATATTAAGTATCAAATTAACCAAAAAGAGATACAGAATACATCAATATGTAAATTAATCCCTAATACAAAAATATCTCAAAGGAAAGCTCTATGCCCAATCTAGGTCCCTAGGTAACACAAACATGCTGTACCTGTCTACTAACCTAAAGGTTGGTGGTTTGAACCTACTCTGTAACAATGTACAAGAAAGTCCTGGTGATCTGCATCAGTAAAGATTACAGCCAAGAAAACCCTATGGAGCTGTTCTACTCTGTAATACAAGGGGTCTGCATGAATCACAAACACCTCAACAGCACTGAGTTTTGTTTTGGTATGCCCAATCTTAGAGAACACAAGAGATTTCTGCTCAACTACTGTAAAACCCAACATAGCTCAACAAAACATCAGATGACTGCGGTCACAATCAAACCCATCTCAACAAAATATGAACGATGAGAAGCCCAAATGTCAGATTAAAGCATCTTTCCAATGAACAGTAATCACCTCAGTACCCTGGGAACTCGTTGATTCCACTTTCAGAAAGAAGCTTATTTAACATTAACCCTAACTTGGCAGGTAGAAAACAAGAGAAGTCTAAGCCAACAAAAATCAGTCTGGATCAACTGGAAATATTCTGCTGCTAAAAAGTAACTTTTCTCTGCAAAGATCTCAAAGATCCTACAAAGCAAACAGAAAATTCAGAAAAAGCCTAAATCTAGGCCCACAAAAGTATAGTCCATCAAGGGAAAAAAAAAAAAAAAAGTTTAAACTAGCTGAGAGAAACTCAAGTTATCTGGAGCAAATTCTCAGCCAACAGTCACACAGTCACAGAAATATAGTTTATCTGCTAGCTTTATATGGAGGAAATCAAAGATCCAGGCTGTTAACTATCTTGTTCAAGGTCACGCAGTACTTAGTTATTGCCTAAACGCAAACCCTGTGACTATCCCCATTCACCACTCTTCCTCCATTAGTAGCCTGCTTCTAGCTTAGAAAAAATAAGCTATTTTTAAAAAAATTTTTTTACTGTTTTGGGTGAAAGTTTACAGAGCAAAGTGGTTTTCCATTCAACAATCCATACACATTTTGTTTTGTGACATTCGTTGCAATGCCCACAAGGTAACAGCACTCTTCCCACTTCCTCTCTAAGTTTCCCATTTCTATTCATCCTTCTTTCTTATCCCTTCCTGCCTTCTGAGCTTTGTCCCTGGACAGATGTTTTGATCTCATATAGCTGATTGTTCCAATGAGTGCATACCCCCCCGGTGTTACTGTTCACTTTATCAGCCTGCCTATGTTTGGCTGAAAGTTGAGACACAGAGATGAGTTCAGTTCCAGGCTTGAAGGGTTTCTAAGGGCCACAGTCTTGGGAGTTCCATCAGTCTTCCTCAGACCAGTAAGCCTGGTCTTTTTTTTTATTATTTTGAGTTTTGTTCCACATTTTTCTCCCATTCTATCTAAGACCTCCTATTGTGATCCCTTTCAGAGCAATTAGCAGTTGTAGCTAGGCATCTAGTTCTTCTGGTCTCTGGGTCATAGAGTCTGAGCTTCACATGGTCCATAAATCCTTCAAACTGTTTCCCCGTATCTTTGACTTTCTTTACTCTTCTTTGCTCCAGACAGGGAGAAACCAATAGTTGCACCTTAGATGACAATTCTTTCTTGAACTGTAACCACCTACTACTACTTGATTTTCTTAATACAAAAAACAAAACAAACAAATAAAAAAACACCTATCTAAATAGGCATGAATCAAAAACAAAGTTAATTCGCACGATAAAGAATTGAGAAATGTAGATCTAACTTCTAAAGTAAATTAAGAGTTCTGGTTCCCCGGAAGATGAAGTGAACTATATACTCTATCCTATTTCTGACTCTGAAGGCAACTACATATCCTGGACAAAACATGCCACAGCTACCTGAGGACTCTGAAAAGTCAATTACAGTAGGTAAATGGAAGGAGACCAGAACTGGAAATTTCATAGTATTGCCCAGTCAAGACCTAAAGATAGCCCCAAACCCAAAAGTGCTTATAGGTTATAGATTGAAAGACCTCTAAGAAAAACCTCTTTCTGGTCCAAGAAGCAGGAAAGGGGGCCACTACAAATCAAGGACAATGGAGACAATTTCTCCTCTTGGTTTTATACACCCAAAAAAGTCAATTTTATTATACCTTAATTTAAATGAGAGTTTTTAAACAAGTAAACAAACAATAAAACAGGCCTTCAATTAAACAATTAAGACTTACTATAGAGCCTGATGGAACCACTGAGACTATGGCCCCTAGCTGCCCTTCAGGTCTGGAACTGAACCCACACCTGTGGTTTCCAGCCAAACAATGTACAGGCATATGAGTTAAACATTTACCTCAAGTAGCCACTC